AAAAAAAAAAAAAAAAAAAAAGAAGGAAGAAGAAAAAAAAACCTAATTTTAAATTGCGAATAGAGAACTCTTTTGAAAGAGTATTATATATTTTCCCCTCCCTCCCCGCGGAAAGGTGGATCCAAGGTTTTTTTCTTTTCTTTTTAAAAGGGCATAGCAAAGGCGGATTACGTTCCTTCGCTGCGAAAAATTTCTGTTACTCTGTACACGGGTGGATACGTGGGTGTGGGTACGCCGAGTTTGTAAAGAGGGAAAGCTCTGTGTAAAGCGTCGCCGTCAAAGCGCGGACTGTGCAAAGACAGAGTGGCAGCGGAATTGAGATTAAACTTCCGTTTGCCAATTGCGCGTGTATACAAACCGCTTAAAGGGCATTGCGAGTGTGAAGAAATATGTTTGGAAAATTCCAAGTTACGCGAGTGAAAAAAATATATACAGTTGTTAACCGCTTGTTAATCCCATCTTAATTATCTTATATTAATGCGATCCAATTAAAACTTTTTCCTTATAAACTTTTCGTTTATAAATCGCGCTAAATATTTTTAATCACGTTTGGTTGGGTGAAATAAAATTGATGGATAAAAAAGATGGGATGGAACAAATATTATCGAATAAATCTTGGATTTAAGATAGATAAGAGGTTGTAATAAAAAAAAATATCGTTATATGTGGACGAGTTTCGTAATCGTTACTGTTCGTCCTTTCGATCTTGCTGAAGATTTCCCTTCCCTTCTGAGAAACACGGTTAAAGTTTTCGAGTTTTTTAAAGACCTCGTCATTTTCCGAATCGAGAACGGATGTTGATCGAAGAGAGGTTTGGCGTTTCGCTTCCGTGGAAAGATTATTTTAAAAGGTTAAAAAAAAAGTTTAAGAAAGGGAAGCGAGGAACGAGAAAGAGAATCGAGAAACAGGAAGAAGGGGAAAAGTCGAGATCGAGTGGATGAATTTAAAGTTTTCAAGAAATTCTTCGATCATTTTTTCGCTCGAAACATTTCGCCATTGAACAACAATTGTCCTTTCTCCCCCGGAAGCTTTTCCCCCCTGATGATTATTCTTCTACGAAAATCGACAAGTTGGAAAACAGGAGGAGAAAAAGAAAAGAAAAAAAAAAAAAAAAGGGAGAGAAAATAATTGACCATTAATATTGAAATTGAATGTTTGAAATGATCGATAATTCGTTAATAGATTTCCATATCGAATAATTAATAAATTCGGCGCCGGTACGACGGACAATTTGCATTTATAATTCGCGATTCACCGAGTTATCGTTCGAGTAATCGGTGAAAATTGTGAAAACCGGAGGCCGCGAATCCCTGCACTTCTCTCCATTGATTTTAGAATCGCCGACCAAACATCATTAAATATTTCACTCGTGAATATTAATAGCCGTGGATTCTACCGAGCGAGGATTTTATTTTTACCATTTTTAGAAAACGGGATCGACGATAAATTGAAAAAATTTTATCGAAAGGAGGAAATTCAAGATTTTTCCACGAACTTTTAAATTAACTTCCGTCAAGAAAATAAATTTTTACGCGGCACGGATGTAAAAGTTTTCCGAATTGAAAAAAGGCGGTGTTTCCGCCGAGGAATTCGGTTCGACCTTACAGAGTGGAAAAAACCTTTCCACGTTGCAGATTATTATTATGTAGGAAAAGAAAAAAAAAGAAATTAAAGGAAAAAAAGAGCGAAGTGAGAAAACTCGAGAATAATACGCGGAAGAAAACTTGACAGACTGAAAGAGCAACGATAACACAATAACGATAAAGCTTATCGTCACAAGATTTTTAAATAAAGATACGAGCTAATTGGAAAAAATTAAATCCCTGATTTTAATCGAATCGTTCGATCCAAGTCGCGCAAACGTAATCTAACGTTCTTCTGTCCTGAAGTTTGAAATTTCATCGTTAATCCCATTGTCGTTAACGATCGTTGTGTATTCAAATTTCTGAAATTAAAGATCGCAAAAATTGCTCTGAAACGAATCGAGGTAACAACATTTTCAAAACTTCGACGAGTAAAACGAGTAAATCCATTCGTTGAAAGGGAAAAGAAATCGAAAAAGCGAAATATTACGGTTATAACCGAAAGCTTTATCAGGTATCTGATGATCCTTTCTGAAATTGCTTTTACTCGAACGAAAACCGACCGTTAAATGGAACGAACTTTCCACAGGACAAGGGAAAAAAAGGGGGGGAGAGGGGAGAAAGACGCGACAAAACCGTTATTCTGTCTTTTTGCAAGAAGAAAGGATATCAAAAAGCAGGTTTGATCGCGTTTAATTCGGTTGATCGTGCTCCATTCCATTGTTCGTGCAACAACCATGGAGAGGAGCATTAACGCCTGATACAATCGTATAATCCGAATCGAAAAAATGTTTGCCTTTCTTCGTTACGCGCGATATCTGTCCATCGCTATAAATACCATCGCATCGCGCATTTCAGAATTTAAAATGAAAATTCGGAGGCATACGTCGAAAAGCATCGGCTGTTAATCGTAGATAAGAGAAAATATAATATATACTCGTCATTTTTGCTATAAAATGACAGAATGAGAGAGAGAGAGAGAAATATTAATCCAATATCCTCGGGAAAAAAAAATTTCACGTATCCACAGGAATATTCGCATAAAAATTGCAAATTCAGCAAGGACGTGGTTGTTGTCAGGGTGGACCGGATGGTGGTATGGTGTATTCGTATGCAAAATGAAAAAACGTGAGAGAGAGAGAGAGAGAGGGAGGCGAAGAGAGAAGACGGAGAAAGTTGTGGAGGGAAATGAAAGCTGCGTATTGAGGATCGTGGAAACGGAGAATTTACAATAGAACTGATATCGATTCCCGCGACCTGTAATATCGAATTCAACGGGGGGAGGGAGGGGAAAAATTCGAGATCCCTCCCGTTCTCGAGAGAAAAGGAGAAACAAATCATACAGGGAAAAGGAGAGAAATGTCCTGTGTTATAAAAATTCCACTCTAAAATTTCCGCGCGGAAAACGAAGCTATCCGACACGGGAAACTTCCATGGAGCTCTCTCGAACAGACGATACGAATGCTTACTCTGATTCGTTTTCGTGGCGGATTCGTCGGCGTCCATCGCGGCGAACGAGGAGTCGGACTGTATCGATTACACCTCGAGAGAGATGGAAAGAAAGGAAGAGTGGGAAAGGGGGAGATTCGTGAGAGGGAAGGGCGCGTGGAGAAGGAAAGGAAAAGGGAAAGTAAAAATAAAATTCAATCCGAGTGAAATTCGTTGAGAGAGGCAACAAACAATGGCGATTCGTAATTAAAATGGACGAAAAAAATACGAAAGAGTGGCGAGCAACGATGAAAAGCAGGGACGAGAAATAAAGGTGTTTCGAGTCATAATTAAGCAGCGGTGGAAACAGGAGAAGAAAGGGGATGTGAAATTATATAATAACGAATTTACGAGGGCAGATTTTGTAAAAAAAAAAAGAAATAAATAAACTAATAAAAGTAGCTGATTTCCCTCGAAAATCGTGATAACGAACGGAGGAAACGAATGGAGAACACGTTGAAGAAGATCACACGCGATGTGATCTACGCGTATCTTCGTGGACCGATGAAGAAGAGCGGTGAGCATACGTGTTTGACAAACTGTCGCTCAAGGACATCTCGAGATCTTCTCAGTGAAGATGAAAGTTCATCCGATAGTTTGATGGAAGATGGCATCCGCAAGTTGTATAAAGTTGGAGTAGATGTTACGACGAGAGATTTCGTGATTGATATCCGGTATATACGGTAACCATGTTTGATCCTCGATGCTATTTATACAAGAAGAGATTTTTAAATCGTTAAAAATTGGTTAAAAGTTTCTCAGAACTAATACCTACTTGCTTATACACTATTGTGCTCCTTCGAGTGACTCGTGCTGTCTTCAACATCGCAATCTTCGCTGACGTACGTTGAATCACTGAATTTAAAATCACTGGTGTCTTTTAATCGGAATATGTTCGAAAGCGAAACGTTAACTGAAAAATCATGAAATTGAATCGTTAGAACTAGAAGTCGAATTGATAAATTTCACTCTCCATTTTCGAGAAATATTTTCAATATAAATATTTTAACCGATTGCTTGTCTCGCCGTTGGCTCAAATATTAGTTCGATCGAATAGCCGGGGAGACGTTTGAAAAGAAAAATCTTTCGTTGCGCACAGATTGCGCAAGGACGGTGTTCAATAACGTTTGACAATTCCTTTTGTGCGCGGAACGTAACGCGGGGAGTCGTTTCGTCAGAAAATTGAAAATAAGCAGAAGCAACCGTTCCGGTGGAGTGCAACGAGCTACATGATTTCCAACGAGCGACAAAGACTCGCAAAGGAATCGATAAGGAAAATATTAGGAGCGGAGGCGCCACAAAAGATGCACAATCTCCATTACTGGAGGCAAGCTCAAAGGGAACTTTCGAACCTGCAACTTTTTCACTTTTCGATACCCGAACTCGTCTTTATTTTCCCCTTCCGCGAACAACTCTTGACTCAAAAAAATGGATCCGATCAAGGAAAAACCAGCAGGATGTCGAGGATACAGGGACGTCGTTTTTTTTCCGAACGAACAATCGTGCAAATTGAATATCCGCATTCGAATGTAGCGGAAAATCGTTTAATATCTTTGTACGCGTTGCACGAAAATTGAATCGAAGGAAAGAACGTTTTTAAAAAGTATTCGTACGTCAATGCTTTAAATGTAAACTTTTAACTTGAATTTTCCCTCGTTGCATTTTATCCTTGCTCCTTTTTTTTTCCTCTCGTTGTTACTTTATCCTGATTCACGATCTCGCCCGAGGGTTCGAGATTGCATAATTACCAAGTTTCATGAGAGAATTTCGTCGAAGCAGATTGAAAGATAAATATTATAAATACCTGATATTAAAACGCCTTAATTAAGCTATATTTCACGTCCTCGCAGGCTACTTTTTCTTTAATGTTCTCATCTCGCCCCGAGCTCACCCTATTTGTCACGCGAGCATGATGCTCCTACTTTATAACGATACTGTTTCCGCGATTCTTTTTAATTGTATTACCACCTCGTGTTCTCTCTTTCTCTTCGATCAAAATTAATTACTACGATACTACGTCCATTAAATTTATTTTATCCGTAATAAAAATAATGCCAAAGAAATCTTGAGATCGTTCGAAGTGAAACGAGAAAAATTGTATTTTTCAAGGGATCGCGAATTATGGTTGTCGCGAGAAGGAGAGGAAAAATGGAAAATAGGAAACGTTTCTTCTCATCTCGAAAATCTCGAAACGATCGTGCGCGGAGAGACGGTTCGAAACCGTTTCCAAAGAGCAGCGATCGAGTTTCTTCCATGGTCAAGTCGTGGAACCAGAGTAATCTCGAGAAACCAGGCTAGTCGAGCACATACCGTGCTCGTTCCTTCCTCTCCATTTTTCCATGCTCTCAAATTCTTTCTGTTCAATTTGAAATACGACAATTCCATGTCGTATTAAAATACCATCGATACCTTTGCAATTTGGATTTACTGATCGTTTCAAAATTTTCAATCAACTTTTTAATTTCACTCTCAATTTCACTCGTAACATTTTTCGTTGACTTTATATACATATAAAAATGCGAGTCGTATCTTGTACATTTATGCGTGAGTTGAGAGTCACTGAACGCGACACAATGAGCCAAGTATAGTAGAAGAAAGGCATCGGCACGATTCACATCTATATAATTAATAATTTATTTCTATTCCCTTTATTAAATATACTCTTTCTTTCTTACTTACTATTTTTGATTTGCAGAAACCAGGCTGCATCCACGGGGAGGATCTTCCATATTTTTTCGGGGCGCCGTTGGTAGGCGGCCTGTCTCATTGGCCGAAGAACTACACGAGGGCGGAGATGGCTCTATCGGAGAGCGTGATACTCTACCTGACGAATTTCGCGCGCACAGGGTGAGTCGTGAAACGATGTTGAAATTTGCCTGTACGTGGGCGCGTCGAAAAAGAGGAATCAACAATATGTGTGTATAACGTCGGCAGGAATCCGAACGAGGGAACGCCGGACGTCGGACCGATGAGACCCGAGAGAACGAAGTTGAAGAACATCGATTGGATCGCTTACGAGACGGTGCACAAAAAGTATCTGAGCATAGGTGAGTTTGCTCGAAATCGAGTTTTCCCTTAAACTTTTCTGTCAGAGGTTCGTCGATAATATTTTAAAAGGGTCGTCGAAGACGTTCGTTCGTTCGTTCGTTCGTTCATCTTCATTGAAATAAAGAAAGATTCTTCGTTGTTACGAGTGAAAATTTTTCGATATCAAGAATCGTCTCGATTTTTCCATTCAGGTGATTGTAACGCTCGCGATTATATTTTAAAAGGATCGAAGACGTTCGTTCGTTCGTTCGTTCATCTCTATTGAAACAAAGAAAGATTCTTCGTTGTTGCGAGTGAAAATTTTTCGATATCGATATCAAGAATCGTCTCGATTTTTCCATTCAGGTGATTGTAACGGTGCTGAGGGAGTTATTTTATACGAGACAATTGGAAATTTTGACGGAAGGAAAATTTCGCTACCTTAGAAAAATATTCGATTCCCATGCATTCTAATTTCCTCTCGTAATCTCGGCTTGCTAGAGTTTCCAATTAGCCTCAGTTTTCACGATTCCGCGTCAGCTTGAATCTCGGGGCATTAACCGTTCAGAGGCGGAGTAAACGTTTCTCGTTAAGGAGATTCGATCCTCTCCGGAAAACTGCCGAATGGAATGAATGAAAAAAAGAGAAAAAGGGAGGGAAGGAAGGAGTTTTGGAGCAGGTCGTTTCCTCCATTCGGTGAAATCTCCGCGTTCCGTTTCGAGATGGAAACTATTATTTAATCCGATTAGCCCGTGAAACGTGTATAATGAACGTAGTCTTGCAGAGCTGCCACGCATCTCGTACGTGTAACTAAGAGGATTAGCGAAAATTTATTTGCATAATTCTCATTCTCATCGCTGGACGAGAATAAGAATTCTTCCCGGAATGGACATAAATCACTTTTTCTTCTTCTTCTTTTCTCCTTTCCTTTTCTTTCAAAACATTTCTTTGAAAATTCCTTGCGAAGTGACTTGTTAACTAGCTCGATCCTCGCCCGTTTCCCTCGTTTTCGTTTCATAATTTTTTTATAAAGATAAAAAGTAGGCAAATTCGACTATCCGTTGTTGCTCGTTGTACACTCACTGTGTACGTCGCATAGAAAAATTGAGAGAAAAGTTATTCTTTGAGAAAAATCGAAAAACCAGAAAGAAAGGATCTTTTCGGTATCTCCTTTCGGGATTAAAGTCCGATTTTAGACAAAAGTCTAGACTTCGTGAGATTGCCTGTGATGTACAACGAGAGAGAAAGGAAAATAGAGTCGGCGTGGTACAGGGAATCGGCGCAGTCTCGGTGGAATGTTCGCCACGAAAGTCGGAGCGCAGCGCGGCTCAAACTATGCCACGTCGTGTGGCCGCAAGTAGAAAAGTCGACGCATAGCCGGCCCTCGGGGGCAACTGTCTGACTCCGTATACCGTTCCACACTCGTCGACCGAGTGCTGCAACTTTGAGCCGCACTGGCTAACGAAGCTGTCTTCTCTTTCTCTCTCTTTCTTCCTCTCTCTAAGATTATCACGCGACAATAATTAATTACCCTGCTGTTAATATGAAAAGGTTCCCGTGGAAAGGCTGCCTTTTGAGGTTATCGCGCGAGTACGAGTCGCACTTGCTCTCTCGTTCTCTCTAAAAAAGCGCCACTCTCTTTCTCTCTCTCTCTGACCTGGCTGAGACTTCATCCGTGTTTCCAGAGCTCAAGTCGAAACTGAAGAACCACTACAGGGCGCACAGACTCTCGTTTTGGTTGAACCTGGTCCCCGACCTCCATAAGCCTGGCTCCGACGACGTTCCTAGATCGCATCATCTTCTCGACACTGAACAGGTATCATCTCTCTCTCTCTCTTACATCTTCGTTCCGGGCGAGTATTCGACAGAGTTTCTAATTTGCGAATTTGCGCGTTGAAGGTGCCGCCCAGGTTCATCCAGAGGGTGCCAACGACGACCAGGATGACAACGGCGGAAGTGACCTTGGCCGAAAGAGCTCACAACTTCTCGACAGCGACACCCAGCGAGTTAACGTTCGAGGACTCGACGGTCCAGCCGGAGGACGGTTTCGCCGCTTACTCGACGGCCCTCAGCGTGACGATAGCGATCGGTTGCAGCCTGCTCATTCTCAACGTGCTTATTTTCGCCGGTGTCTATTACCAACGCGACAAGAGCAACCAGCACAATTGTTCCAAGAAACGTCAAGAGAACGGACAGATGCCCAACAATATTTGCGGTGATCTGGACACGAAGACGGCCGAGAGGCATCACATCCAACACATCCCGCCCCCCGAATTCGCCGATCTTCAGAACAACACGTGCCACGTGCCCATGCCACCCCCACCGCCCAAGAACACGAAGCCGGGCAAGCCGGGGCAGAATCTCATCATAAGCCCTAACCAATTGCAACAGGAGAGCATGGCGATGAGTGGTGGGACGGGGACGTTGAAGAAGGGGCACAATCATCAGCAGCAGGTGATGGACGAGTTGAGGGTTTGACTCCACGAGCACCTCGTGAGTGCGGCTGAACTCTTACGAACGATTCACGATTCGCGTCAAGTTTCGGATCGGTTTCCAACGAGGTGCTCCTTGCATTTTCAGATGCACCGTTTGCTCATGGATTCGAAGGGGTTGAATGTGATCGTTGGCGTTTGAAGAAAAGCTTGTTCCGAAGGAGCCTTGTCGTGAAGTTAACGGAGAAGGAAGAATAAATACATCGAAAATACATTCGCCGCGATACTTGTGGGTTTGGGATTTCTATGATGATTCTCGCGCGAGGAACAGGGACATGGAAATCGAGTATCTTCTCCAAGATTCTTCTCGAGTCTTCAGGAACGTACGTTCGATGGTGTTCGTTGGCGATTGACCGATCCGAATCCTTTCGATGAAATCGTTCACGGCTAAATCTAAAATCTCGCGAGTGTATAATAGAGAGAGACACGTGTGAAAGCGTCTGACCCGTTATCCTTTTCTACTTCTATTCCGTGAGACAAAGAGGAGAGAAACACGTACGACCAACTGCCGAAAAATCGCATAGTCTTCGATATTGTAATAACGATACCTTAAGTAGAAATCTTTCGATCCTCGAGGAAACAATCGAGAATCGTTTCCCGCCGATCATCGACCTTTCAAAACAAAGATTATTTCTCGAATCAGCCTCTTTTTGTAACTGTATTATTTACTTGATCCAAAGAATTTCTTCCTTCTTTCCGATCAAGGAATTGAACTTCATCGAATTTATTCTGTTCAACCGATCATCAACGATATATCTAATTACGACCGATGCGATGAAATATGCATTCCGTTTCCAACATTTGCACCCTCGATGGAAAGAATCCGCGTACGAGTCCGGGCCAATGTTGTTGTTTCATAGATCTATTCTTTCGACACGGACGAGGCTCTCTCTCTCTCGTCTTCGCATTTCCATCGAATTCCGGATTCCCACTCGGCCAATGGCTCGTGCGTTCGATTCATTCCTCCGTTAGAAGCGTTAGAACTTCGAGTAAGATCCGCTTGCATCATCGACGGCACTTCCAGCTGTCCACCGGACTTCCATTCTTATTTTGTTAAATTAGTCGAGGTACCTTCTCAGGAGAGAAAGAAGCAGAGCCTCTCGAATCGATCGTCTACGCTCTGTCACTGCCACGGGAAACGAGCTCGTGTGGCGAAATCCAAGGAGCTGGAAGTAGTGTCGATCGGCCTAGATGCTCAATAAAAGATACGAGAGTTAAAAAAAAAAGAAAAAGGGAGAAGAAAAGAAGGAAGATAAAGGGCCACGATGACACGATGCAACTGAGATCTCGAATTGAACACGGCGCCGTAAAGTCTTTTTTTACCGAACCGAAAATGGAAAAAAATAAAGATTGAAGAAATCTTTCGCGATCACCTCACTCGATTCGTCGTTAAAACTACGCAACAGCATACTGCCAAAAAAAAAAAAAAACAATTGAGACGCGAGTCAATACGAAATGCGAATGCTTTGATCGTTTCGAAAAAAAGTGTGTACAGTCGCGGTTCGAANAATAAAATGAGGAAATGTGTCGTTTTTAACTCCATTTTCTTTTTTTTTTTTTTTTTTCATTTTTTTAGAAACGTTCTAAGAAGCACTTGGACGTATCGTATGAGAACAGGATGGGTTTAGACTGTAAATAATAATGAATAATTAAACTTTAGTGATTCATCGAGTCGTTTGTGGCGAAAATTTTTTTTGCTGGTGTTTGAAACGACGAAAAAAAAAAGGAGAAATCCGATTGTAATTGCACTTGTGTCGAGTAAGGAGATGGTGTGTCAGCGTAGAAGCACTGTGGACGTAATTTTAAATTTGTATATAATTGACATTACAATAAACTGTGTAAACAATTACTATTAGCTACAGAATTTACGAATGTTTTCCTTCAACTCGATTATTTTTTCTTTTTTTCCTGATAATAAATCGTTCCGATTATATTCTTCTTTCGTGCGAATGAATATGAAAAATATGAATTAATCCGTGCACGTTCAAAAGAATTAACGAATAATCGTGTACAAATAATAATGAATCGGTACGTTTTTCGAATAAAAAAAAAAAAAAAAAAAAAAAAGTGAATTCGCAAAAATGAATCGAAAACGTTTCACCACGAACGAATATTTCATCAATTCCGTTTATAAAATTCGAACGATAAAGGCAAAATACGCGACATATTTGAAATAACTAAAAGACATAGAAGGTTTGGCCGGGAATTTCAATGGGGAGGGGGAGGAGGGGCTCTGTCACGTAACCAAACAAATAAATGAAAAACTGTTTGGACGCTAATTATCAATCTCGAATATCAATATGAATATCCGATCAATTACGCAAACACGAATCGACGAGATTTCTCCCTCCATTTTTAACTATTTCCCTGATGGTGACAAATAATCCAGCGCACGCATGGTAGGGAAGGAAGTATCGAATAATCCGAAAAAATATTTCAATCTCGATACGTTTTATGAAATGAATCGAAAATGAATGGGCTCGTGAACGCAAATCTTTATTGATTCGTTTCGTTTGAAGCTCCACTAGTTGAATTGTGCAAACCAACAATTATGACACGTTTGCAAAAAATCTCGTAAAAGCTCGTTTCGAACCGTGACGAGAGCGTGCCTTTATAACGTACACAATATACAAAAGACTTTTCGCGATACGTTCTTGATTGTTCTCGTTGAATAGAAATTCCATAAATATATTGAATACATTGAATGAGAGAGAACGAATTAATAAATCTGGAAAAAATGGTAAATTTTTCTCTCTTTTTTCTCTCTTTTCGCTATAATCACTGTATACAAATATCGATAAAAATCTCTCGTTTAAATTTTCAGATAATTAAACATCGTTATTATTGCTTTTATTAAATTCGATTCGAACAAAATTCGTTCGAATCTGAATGTTATTCATCTCAATATTCTTGCTTTAAATTAACAAATTAACAACTGTTCTTTATCGCTGTTCCTATCTTCGTATCTTGAAACAATAAAACTTCAATCAAAATTCTGTCGATTCTACTTCAACGCAAAAATCGATTTTTCGTCTCAATTGAATCGAGACTCATTACATCTTTCTTTCGATTCCTCTGCAATCCAAATTTTCACACTTTGATCAAAACTTCTCGCTTATTGATCGAATTAAAACGTATCTTTTCTCTTCTTTTCTTTCTCCAAGATTTCTTACAACTTCGTTTCGAATCGGATATTTTAGACTTACCTAATTATTCGCTCTTCGCTCACCAACACGTTCACGTTCACGGAAAAACTTTTCTCGAAACGAAAAGTTGGTTCTCTTCTACCGATTATATTCTCATTCTGATTGAAATTAAATTAAATTTAAGAGAAAGAGAGAGAGAAAGAGAGAGAAACGAACACAAGTACGAGTGGAAAAACGAAAAGGAGAAAGAGAGAAAGAGAAATTAAACAATCGATGCCCGCTCCTCACGTTTTTTACCCAACTTTCCGGTTGGCTGGCCCCGTTGAATCGAAACTTCAGTAACGGCTCGTTCGATTTTATTTCTCGAAGTTCCGATTGCCCGAGAACTCTTTCGAATCTCGAAACTTCGAGAATTGGGATTGAGATTCGGGATTCCATACCCGTTCGATGTTCGATATACAATGCGGATGATAGCGTGGATCCACACGCTTACCACGTCCTGAGGTCGGCCGGATGCGGGCTAGCAAACATCGTATCGGGAAGTATAACACGGCTAAGTACAAGTATCGTGGCAGTATTCGTTTACACTAGCGGTTCAATCGAGTTACGGCACCATTGTAATTGGATTAAACAGTGACTGTCCAGCCTCCGGGAGGATCTATCACGATCCATTGTGTGACGAATTACAGTCGAACGCGCTGTAGATACGGAACGTCTGTTTTCGAGGAGCCTCCTAATAGGACTGGGAAGATAACACGGCTATAACGCCACCGATGGAATCGTCCGATTGCCGTGCTGTTACCTGTGTGATTAAATCACGCTGTTATTCGAATTGTATACACACACACATATATATATATATCTCGGGAAGAATATCGTCACGATGAAAGAAATCCGTGCGGCTTGGTACGAATTTATAAACATTTAAACCCGATACGATAACGAAAGAATGTGAAGGAATGGAAAATAATTAGACGTTATGCGTTCGGTAGAAACAAAACGTGTGCGGTTTCGGAAGGGATGATACAGATGTTTAATTGTTATTATCGTT